ATGTTGGTGTGTATGTGTATACTCCTTACAGTTGTGTTATTTTTCTGGTTTTCAAAATTGTGCAAATCAAAGAAGTTCCCACTGCCCTACTAGTATCATTAAATGTGCATGCCTTGGGAACTGAACTAGTCCAGCTTTTGTTTTGCTCATTTGATTTGGGGCCCATCCTACTCCCCATTATCATCCCCCTGAAGAATGATAATAGGATTACAGATATTCCAAAGACAAAAGCTGGATTTTGATAGAGTTTCTTTATAGTAATGTTTTTGGGACATGTAAGCATGAGACGGCTCTTCTTTTGCTATAACTAAGGAGAGTTCTGACCTCATTCCATTACAGATGGGCACTGGAAACTTGCAACAAGTTTTCTTAAAGTGACCTATTTCTCTGATCTGGCAACAGATTCAGGAAATAATATTACAAGTCCATTCCTTATGGAGGCTCAGTCTTCTTGTGGATACTAGAAAACTGTTCAATTTTCATTTGCTTTACAGCAGTGTGGTAACCAGGCCACAAAACAAAAATGTTATGCTCTTGGTTACCCAATTGGCTCATAGCTGTGGTGATGAACGACTTTTTATTGTGAGAATTAAATATGGCCTTTAACCACCAGAGGATACTCTTGGCCATTTTGGTTACCTTCTGTTGTTAATTCAGTTGATTGAGAATTATCTAAATAGATTGTTTTATGAACATTTAATTACATCCTTGTCCAGAGGAAAACATTTAGGGTTATAAGAGATTCTGCGAAGAGCTGAGCCATAGTTCTGCTGGATTCTAACTGGACTTCGGGCAGATTCATGTAAAATTAAGTTATATTTTTTATTATGAAATGGGGTTATCAGTTGATTAACGAAGAGTGACAATGCCTAACATAGTAGATGCTCAATAGATGTTTTTATTATATCTGATCCAACATCCTTTCCATGGGGTTCTTGGGTCCCTGGTAACCTCTTCCCCCAGGTGTCTGTGGATAGAATTTTAGGGGTTCTCTGAACTTGAATGGGCAAAATAAAACTTTTCACTAATCTGTAACTGAAATTGAGCCTTTCCTTCTATTACGAATGTAGGCAAGAAACCACACTAGTAGCGTTAGCAATAGCTGTGTGACTGGGACAGATGTATTCAAAGTACTGTTGGCACTCATCACTAGACTCGCCACTAGATTTTGTTGTGTTAAGTATTTATTACAATATAAACTTTGTTTAAAAATATTTTGATAATTACATTTCACTATAATTGGTTTCCTTTGAAATCCTGCATAGTTTATTTTGTGTATTTAAGAACATTATCCCTAGAAAGGCCATAGGCTTCTCTAGATTGCAGGAAGTTTCAGCAGCCACACAAAAAAAGTTTGGAATCCCTAGAGAGCCATAATTTTCAACTGAGGCTGCACATTAGAACCTCCTGGAGAGTTTTTTTTTTTGAGCATCTTTTTAAATTCCCTTTACCCCAGGTGATTCTGATGTGCTGCCAGGGTTGAGAATCACTAAGTGAATGGCTTGTTTTATTTTGTAAGGAGACATTTATACTTGCTGCAATTATGCTGGTCAGATATTAGATGCTATCTTCTGCGTTTCTCTGTTCTTTTGCAGATTATGGCATACATTATCTAATTTTGGTAGGTTAATTTTCAGCAAGGGGATTTGAGTGATTTGGCCTCCCACCAGACTGCTTTGAAACACTAATTGTTAGCATTGATTAATTTAGCTGGTTTTTAATTCCTGATTTAAAGTTCCTGTATCACATTTACTTCTTATTTTACCGTTAACATATAGTTGATATCTTACGAATCCTAGTTTACTTTAAAGTATTTTTAAAGTTTGTCAAGAAGTAAACCGTTTGAAAGAAATCTTTATTTTGTTGTATCCCAAGTGCCCATTCAGCAATGTCTGGCACACACTAGGCACTGAACAAATATTTCTCAGGTGAACAGTAAAAATTCAAACAGCAGAACAGTATACAGTGTGTGAAGTACGCTTGTATGTGGTGTGTGTGTCTCCCCATCCACTCCTATTTTTTTAACCAGCTATTATGGAGATTGTTCGATGTTGCTGTTAATAGAGCTGTATTGCTTTGTTCCTTTTAGTGACTACAGATTCCATAATTTATTTAGCCAGTTCTTTTACACATGATTATTTAAATTATTCCTAGTCTTACACAACAACAAACAGCCACATAGCTGATTACTCTCCTGTGTACATCTTTGTGTACGTGTAGAGTAGGGTAAGTTGTCAGAACTGGAATTCAGGGTCAGATATTCATGTTAAATTTTGGTCAGTATTACCGCTTGTTCCTGCCGACAATTCGAGAATGTCTGTTTCTATTGATATATATCCTTGCCAGTGCAATGTTAATTATAAAACACCTTTGTGGGTGCTTAAAACTTAACCTTCCAATGCAGGGGGTGCAGGTTCAATCCCTGGTCAGGGTGCTGAGGTCCCACATGCATGGCCCAAAAACCAAAACATAAAAAAGAAGCAATATTGTAACAAATTCAATAAAGACTTTAAAAATGGTCCACATATGAAATGAGTAGCATTGACATATATACACTACCAAATGTAAAATAGATAGCTAGTGGGAAGCAGCTGCATTGCACGTGGAGATCAGCTCAGCGCTTTGTGACCACCTAGAGGGATGGGATAGGGAGGGTGGGAGAGAGACGCAAGAGGGAGGGGATATGGGGATATATGTATACATATAGCTGATTATACAGCAGAAACTAACACAACATTGTAAAGCAATTATACTCCAGTAAAGATGTTAAAATAGTCCACATCAAAAAAAAAAACAGAAACACCCTTGATCCCTATCTTGTGGCTTACATTTGTATTGCTTTCGAGTGTTTAAAGTTCATTGTTCTTTTTCTATGAACTGTTCGAATACTTTGCCCATTTTCTCTCTGAGTTTCTGATCTTTTAGTGACTGGACTTTATATTAATAAATTTAATACTTTGCCATGTGTGTTGAGGGTATTTTTTAAGTTCGTCTTTTCACTGTCATTGTGATACTTTTCCCATGCACAAATGTAAATAAACTTTATGAATTAAGTTTACTCTTTTCAGAGGCTTTTAAAGAGCCTTCCTGGGCAAAGATACATTTCACTATATTTTCCAATGGTTCTTGTGTTTTTGTTTTTAATGTTTAAATCTTGATCTATCTGAAATTAATTTGGTAGAAAGGGTAAAATAGGAATTCAACTTTATTTTGATAGATACAGTTATTCTAGCACCATGCATTTAATAACCCAACATTACGATTTGAAATGCCACCTTTATTATTTGCTGATTTTCCATATATCCTCTTTTTGAACCATCCTGATCTGGTGATTTATCACCATTGCAGTACTCTTTATTTGTCATTTTATGTTCTAATATGTGGGTGGGACCAGTGGTCCTCCTTTATTAAACTTTTCCAGTTTTAGTTTCTAAACTAAAGTAGTTTAAGCAAGCTACTTACAAAGCTCTTGTGTATTAGTTGAATATCCTAATTTTGATACAAAATTATATTATTCTTTTAAAACATGGTTTTCTTTCTAAATAAATGTATACTTATCAGTGGTGGAAACTGATTTATTCCAAAGAAAAGTATACTTCTTCCAGGTAATTTTTTTCCCCTAGACACATGACTTGAAAATTTTTTTCCCAACTGCTATTTTGACAGAATTGCTTGGTGAAATATTAATTGCCACTAAGGGAAGAAAGAAAAAGAAAGGTATTAGGGGCAATGGTTCCCTCTCTATCCCCTCTTGAATGTTACTGATATTTATTGCCATACTGTGGATTTCAAGAAGTCCTACAAAAAAGGTAAAACAAAAAAAAAAAGGTAAAACCAAACTTAGTACAGATTAACATTTATCTAAATTTTTTGAGTATCACTTTCTTTTTGTGGCACACAGTAGTATTCTGAACAACAATTTGAGAAGTAATACTTGTATTTATGCCTCAGGTCCTAGCTTCTCTTTTAGGTATTAATTTTTTAAAATTATATTTCTATAAGAAAAATAAAACTACCTTATTAAAGAGTTTAGAAAATATTAAAAGGGGGGGGGGAGTCACCTGTACTTCTACCACCTATCACCCAGACATGACTACTAAATATTCTAGTACAATCTTTTCAATCTGTTTTATTGTGGATTTCTTTTATAGTTTTCATTATGCTGTATATACACTTTGTAAATCATGCTTTTAAAACTTTCATATCAAAAATAAAATTTCCGTGTTATTTCATGCATTTTCTTTGTGGTTCAGGATGAATTCTGTATAGCAGTGTTTCTCAGTTGGTCCAGGGACCCTGTGGGTTCCCAAGACTTTCAGAGGACCTGTGAGTTCATACTGTTTCATAATAGATTTAAGACATTATTTGCGTTTTTCACTGTTAATCTCATGAGTCTACAGTGGAATTTTTACATGAGTTGATATTGCAGAAGGTTGAATGCAGAAGCAGATAGGAAAATCCAGCTGTATTTTGAAGTCTGACATTATATAGATTTGCAAATATATGTAACATAATCTCACTGAATTTTTAAAGTTATTTTTCATTAAAATGTTATGTTAACATGTAAATAATTTTATTATTTGTACACGAATAAATATCTAACATTTTTCTCAGTTTTCATTTCTAATATGGTAAATCCTGAAATAACCCACATGAACAAAAGCTCTTTGGTATACTCAAGGGTATAAATAAAAGGGGTCCTGAGACTACAAAGTTTGAGAACTGCTGCTCTATATTATTTCATGTAAAAGATGGGTTTATTTAAGTTTTTAAAATGTTTTTTAAAAGTATGTGTTCACCTGATTTTGTTATTATGCAAGAGATTTATGATAAGATAGTATATATAGATTATAGGAAACACAGGCCTCTTTTATAAGAGGACATTTTTATGCTTTGTACTGTGAGACTGCATCTGGGGGCTGATATGTTGTGCTTGAATTAAATTAGGCCTGAGATTTTTAAAACAGTAACTTCAGTTCATTGTTTTTTTTTCTCCCTAGGCAGCTGAGTATGTCCCAGAGAAAGTGAAGAAAGCCGAAAAGAAATTAGAAGAGAATCCCTATGACCTTGACGCTTGGAGCATTCTCATTCGAGAGGCACAGGTTTAGTGATATAGGATTACATTTCCTTCTCTATGGGTCCAATCACACTACTTGGTTCTGCAGTAAATAATACATTTATAATCCTAACATTGTAAATGCTGTTTATTGGTTTTCAATTTTAGAATCAACCTATAGACAAAGCACGGAAGACTTATGAACGCCTTGTTGCCCAGTTCCCCAGTTCTGGCAGATTCTGGAAACTGTACATTGAAGCAGAGGTTAATATTTTATTTTATTTTTTCTTATATAGCTTTTGATGGGAATTGCAACATACACTATAGTGATAGAAAACAAATTAGGAACATAGATAGCACAACTAGGACAAGGAGGATTTAAAATGTCTCTTGCCTTTATTTTGTAAAATAGGTATGAAGGAGTAATTAAAATGAATTTTTGAAATTTCGGTCTTTACAAGCTGATGATTGTTGCATTTTGGAGTTGCAACAACATTAAAACAGTTTCAATGGTATTGGAGTGCTTTAGCCTTTTATTTACTTGTCATGTGTCAATTTATTGCCTCCTGTGTCATTTATTTAGAACTCATTTTTCTTTTTATTCCTATTTACAAACTAATATGAACGGTATTATAAGAAAATACAGAAATGTTAACTTAGTTTCATAGGGTATTTTGAGTGTCTCTGGTTAAATGAAACCTTTAGGTGAAAAATTATTTTCGATTTTAATTTTGTGAAAATGCATGGTTTGTCAATAAATGTAAGCACTTCAATAATTTAAAAAAAGTTTTTCTATAGGATAAAGTTTACATTATACAGGAATAAGCTAATATGAACTCAAACCTATGTAATCATAATTTACCCAATGATACTTTTTGTTTTTTTTCTTTCTAACTCTCTTGAAATTTGAAGTCAGGCATGTTTATTTTAAAGAGTAAAGGCCCCATTCTTGGTTATGATTAGAAGGGAAATGTTCATTTTTGAAGACCGGAATTAGCAATCCAGATGATAATAAAGTGTGAATGTATCGATAACAGTTGGCACCAAGTAGTCATTTTTCAGGTGATATATTAATGAGATGTAAGGGGTAAGATGGGAATAGTTGATATCCACATTAAGCTGAAAATGATATCCATTTCTTTTTATGACTTAAGAAGTATTCTTATTTGAGCATTAATTTTGTAATATAAATTCTCAACATAATCAAGTACACTGCAGCCTCGTCATAACATATTCCACAGTAGCTGAAATTTGATAACATGTGGGTCTGTTTTGGACCTATCAAAGGGCTTTAGTCATCAGCAGTACTGACTTCAACACAACACAGTGTCACCTGTGATGTGTCCCTCAGAAATGGACCCAACCAATAGCAGATTTAAATTGAGGCTACAGTGTACTCACTGTATTTGTGCTGTAGTTTATATTGTATTACTTTGGGAGGCGGGGAATTACTGGACAATAGCAGGAACATTGTGTGTGTGTTAAATTTTTTCTGTGTGGTTGTGTATGTGGTATGTGTGTTTGTGTGTTTGTATGTGTGAGAGAGATTGTACCTTATGTGGAGTCTGGTTGTGGTTTTGGACCAAGAGCATATCCTTAAGGTTTTATCACTTATCTTTTGGGACCATTTCCTTCCTTTAGTATATCTAATCATCAGAGTAGACTGTCATGGAATTCACCAGGTGAGTGAATAGGCCTGTCTGAAGTGTGCTGAAGCCAGGATCACCTGTACTTGGTCTTCATTCCAGTTTGACTTTACATATTAGCTTATATGCAGGCTCATCAGAAATTAACATAATTGGTACATGATAGTTTTTGTATAATGAAGTGTTACGTTCTGAGTTTTAGAAGTTTCTTTCAGTTTCTCAAATATTCAGGTATTATTCATGCATTTTATTATAGCATAAGTGAAACTGAAATTGGCTGTTAGATACCGCATTCTGTAAGTATAAGCACAGTGAGTCTGTTTCTCCCATTTCCTAGCTAAAAATACAAACTGCATTCTAAAAAAAAATTCTGAGACCAGATGTTATTCCAGAGGGCTGAAAGTTGTCTAAATAACAGGCTCATTTCATGTAATATTTCAGAGCTGTTAGCAGTTGCCTGATTGATTTAGTTGGTAATGTTTGCAGTTTCACACGCATACACACACAAATATGAATGTATGTATAAAACACCTTTTGAGAAAAAAATGGTAAAGAATATATATGTGTGTTTTATAAATTTTATATTTCTGGTTTAGGAATTAAGATGTTAAATTGAATGCAAATTTTAAAAATGCATATCCTGAGCTATGTTTTCCTCTTTCTTAATTTGCTCTTTATTTTCACAATTGTACTTTGTTTAGCCTGTGAGGGGCTAAAGTTTTCTTTGGCCGTATCACCCAATGTGGCCTTTAATATTTCTGGAGAAGACATATATTTATAATACATTAAAATCTGAAGTAATAATAAGAATGTCTTTAAAGATAATACTAACAGTGTTTACATAACATCCTGTATGCACTCTCAAGAAAATAAAGTTTTGTTAATACATTTGTTGTAACTCAGTACTTCATGGTGGGAAAATTGTTTATGTTCAGTTAAACCAGTGTGTGTGAGTCCAAATACATTTAGTTCCTTTCTAATAGAAAATACATACATCTTTAAAAATGAGATAATTTGCTTCCCCAGAGAAATTTCTTGTAAATCCTACTTATGAACAAAGTGGCAAAGGAAGGGGGTGTGTTTTAGGGGTTTGGGGAGTAGGGGGGTTACTTTTAAACTTGAAACATCAATTGCAAATGGGAGCATATTATAAATAATTTTTAGTAAAGAAGTTAATGACACCAGTCTGATATTTTTAATATTTGCCAGTATATCACCTTTTCTCATTTCTGAGCATTTAGCAATACTACTTGCTAAAAAGCTACTTGTGTAAAATTTGAACTTTAAAATGTCATCCTTAATTCATTACCCACTTTTATTTTTGTTGCTTATTGGAGGTAAAATTCCCTTAGGACCAACGTCTATATATTTATAACACATACATAATTTCACAATTAAGCCAAATTACTTTAATGTTGTATATATTATATAGGAGATCACATTTTGCCTCAACTGCTTGAAATTCTTTGCTTTCTTCTTGAATTCCAAAATGTTACTAGCCATATCATAAGAGCAAACAATTGTATGGCTCTTCTTAAAGTGATGCAGTATAGAGTCTAAATTGTTATGATATGAAAATAGTTTTGCTGCTGCTTGGTTTTAGTAAAGGAAACATTTTAATACATCTCTAGTTCATATACAGAAGTCTTAAATATATTTTAGAGTTTAAGAAATGGGAGTTTTTAAACACTAGAGTTAAGTGAAATACCCCTTTAGAGCCTAAGTGCTCTTTAAAGAACCCCTTTTTAGAGTGGTCAGAAGGGTCACTAAATATTAGCAAATTGAGAAAATTTATAGTTTTGCTACATTTTTAAAGTTGCCTTTCCCCTTTTGGTTTCTGTAGCTCTTCATGTAGCTAGGTAATCAATGTGACAGCATACTGTAAGCTACAAATAACTTAGTGTTAGAAGTAAGTTGTTTTGAATTGGGCCACATTCATAAGAAATTTTCTTATGAAAGGATGATTTTTTTTTTATTGTTAGCCGAAGGAGAAATGAAGAAGGTAATGCTACTGGTAATAGCAACAATGTATCTTGCTGTCTGTGAAAGCTGTAATTCTTTAATAAAAGTATGTAGAGAATTGATTGCCTTTTATTAAAAACTTTTTAATGTGAATCCTTTTCTTATAAATACTGGGTTGTGACGTACATATTTCAGTTTTTCAAAATAACCTTTCTACTTGGGAAAAATGACTTTTAAAAATACCTTTCTTCTTGGAAAATCGAAGTGAACTCAGGATGGAACATGGGTGACCTAAATTGAAATAAACTTCTCCACTGTCAATACTGTTTTAATTCCTCTAAGTAACAGTTTAAACTACTGTATTATGTTTTGTATATATTGAGCAATGTGATTTTTAAATGCAGGAAAAAATTTTAATTATATAGATTTCTTTTTTATACTTCAGCTTGCAATCTTTTTTTTAAAAAATCTGTACTCTTTTCTTATAGATCTGCTCTTTTCCTGTTTGTAATAAATGTTGGTCCATGTCTGTGTGATTATTCAGATTTTTCTCTAAAATGCAATATGCTTTTTAATCTGTAGTTTCTTAAATGCATGTATAAATGTAGTGTAGGGGTATAAAAGAAAACAAATTTTGCAAACACTGAAGTGAGTGATCAAATATCTGAAAGTGATATGGATAATTACATACTATTTTTAAAACAAAGGAAATATTTCCATCTACTGTTTTAAGTAGTAAACTTCTATTTTAGGTCTTACTGAAATATCTAATCCCATTCATTTTCCCTTCCATTATTGTAGCACAGATGTTTAGGTTTTTGTCACTTCCACTAACATGATCTGTACATTTTTTTCCTTGGAGCCTTTTCTTTTCACCCCAGGCTTTGCAAAATAAAACTATTTGCAAAAAGACATAGATAATTCAGATAACAAAATTTCTCTTTAAAAAAAAATCTTGTTTTTTTATTCTTTATGTCTTCTAGGTAATTTATGTGAAGTGTAGCCCTTTATTTTCAGGCAAAATCTTGTACTAATCAACCTGATCATTTTTATATTTCTTTATAAAACAAATTTATAATCATTGAGTCACTTAATAAGAATATTGGGAAAAAAGGTTCATTTTTTCCCCCTCTTCAAAAACTCTTAAAATTTTTAGCCAGGCTTTTTTATATTCTGTTTTTGTGTATCTAATAAGAGTTATGGTATATTCTGAAAATCTGGAAAAGCCATCTCTAACCAGATTTTTTTAAGTGTATACATTCCAAAATTTGTTGTGAAACATAAAGAGCTATTTTTATCATGCAGTTTGAGGTTTCCCTGTGGGTAGTAGCTTAGCCTAAATTTCTTGGGCATTTATGGAATAACATAGTAATATACAATACCAAGTAATTAGTGTTTTAAATTACCGGGGGTTGTAGTCAGTAAGGGCTTGGGGGATTAATCTGCTATACAACCCCCTCGACATCCCAAGCGATACTCATTAAAGGTAGGCTCCAACATGTGGCATCCATGAATAAACACAAACTCCCCTAAGCCTTTTATACTACTGTGGAGTTAGAAACCTCCATATTTGGAAACAGAACTAACCCTAACATGAAAAGCCTTTTTTAGGGTGCTCTGTGGTTTTGGTTCCAACTTTGAGCATAAGGGAACCTG